CCCGCTTTGAAGCCAGCAGTACAGCATCTTGCTTCAGTGGTCACATTGATTTCTTATTCTGTGTCAAATCTTGCTCTGCCTCCCTCTTATAAAGACCAGTGTGTCTTCACAGGGCCCACCCAGATAATCCAGGATAATTTCCTCATCTCAAGATCCTTACTTAATCACATCTGCAGTCTCCTTTGCCATTTAAGGTAACATATTCAGAGGTCCAGGGATTAGGACCTAGGATTAGGAATATTTTGGGGGACCATTACTCAGACTACCACACTTGGATTAGTCAGAATTCTTCTAGTTGCAAGTTATAGAAATCCAACTCAAATGATGTAAGCAAAAAATAAATTAAAAAGTAATTTGGGGGCAAATAATAGAAACCAAACTCAAGTGGATTAAGCAAAAAAGGAACCATATTAACTTGTGTAAAAAGACCAATGAAAAATGAACATTCTAGTATACCCAAGGCATCTTCCTACCTTGGGAGTTTTCTCTTGCTGTTCCCCTCTGCCTGGAACAGTCTGTCCCAGACATAGCATTAGCTGCCTCCTACACCTACTTCCAATATTTACTCAAATATAAGCTCAGTGAAGCTTTCCCTTACCGCTACATTTAAAGCGACAATTCCCACCTCTATCCCAGCATGCCCTATGGCCCTTTCCATGTTTATTTTTATCCCTGGCACCTAGCATTATCTGACATACTATATATTTTACATACCCATTTGTCTGTTGTCTATTTTCCCTGACTAGAATGTAAGTTCCATGATGGTAGGGACATTTAGCTTTTTTTTGGGGGGGGGGGTTCATTTTTGTGTAATGTTCAGCCCATAATGGACACTCAATAAATATTTGTTGATTGAATGAAGAGTATGATAGATTTAGGCATAGCTGCCTCCAGGAACTCAAATGATGTCTTTAGGAATCTGACTCCTTTCATCTCTTGATTGTTGCCTTAATGATGATGTCATTCTCAGGCATATTCTCCACATGTCAAAGCAAAGCCACCAAAGCTCTAGGACTGTGCTATCCAATATGGTAGCCACAAGTCACATGAAGTGACTTAAACTTAATTAAAATTAAATAAAATTAAAATTTTATTTCCTTGGTCATACCAGCCTCATTTCAAGCGTTCAATAACCACTGGCTATTGTACTATACAGCATGAATATAGAATATATCCATCATCGCAGAAAATCCTATTAGACAATGCTGCTTTAGACTTTCACACTCTATAGCTAGTGGTACCAGCTAGTAGAGGACTTCTTTTCCTATGGTTCTGGCAAAATGTCTCAGGAAGAGCTCTGATTGGTCTACCTTGGGCCACATATCTATCCTGAATCAATCACCAGGTCCAGAAGGGAGCACTGTCCTAATTGGCCAGGCTTGAGTCATGTGCCCACTCCTGGGGCTTGGAGAGGCCATAGCCCCATTCAAACCACTGAGAGTTGGGAAAGGTGTTTCCCCAAGGAAATTCCAGGTAGTTTTCCCAGAAGAAGACAAATTGGATGCCAAGTGACAAAGGCATTAGATATTCACTGTAATATGTAAAGTACTTGGCTTAGTGCCTGACAAAAAAATGGCAGTTGTGATTATTCTGTATTATTTCCCCTTTCTCCAAGTCAGAGCCTCCTTGCCACTCATTTCTGTATCCTCAGTATCTAGCATACTGTCTTGAAATGCCTAATTTCATTGATTCAAAGACATACCTTTTCACTTTTAATAGTTTCAAAATCAGGAAGTGCTTTCAGTTGATGGAGTCTCACAGTTTAATTGACAGCATTTTTTTCTTAGAGGAACATTAAAAAAAAAAAACCTATGTGTCTTACAAGCAATGGTGTCTAAGATTCAGTGAAATATGATAGTCAGTACTCAAAAAAATGTTTGTAGAAAGAAAGAAGTACCAAGTATAGGTAAGAGATTAACAGATTCTTTAGAAGTTTAGAGAAGAGAAAGGTCACCATGAATTGAGGGGCACAGGGGTGGCTGAGTGGGTGGGGAAGGATGTTTGCTGGGTCTTGAAGGATGAGGAGGATTTAGCTAGAGAGGTGAGTGGGAGAAACATTTCATTGGGAGAAAAGGTCAAGAGCCAAGATTTAAAAATTCAAAGCAGACCGAGCAACTCCACTCCTAAGTATGTACCCATGAAAAATGACAACATATGTTCACACAAAAACTTGTACATAAATGTTCACAGCAGCATTATTTATAATAGCCAAAAGGTGGAAGCAACCCAAGCGTCCATCAAAGGATGAATGGATAAACAAAATGTAGTATGCTCAATCAATGGAATATTCTTCCACCACAGTAAGGAATGAAGTGCTGACACATGTTACAACATGGATGGACTTTAAAAGCATCATGCTAAGTGAAAGAAGCCAGACATAAAAGATCATATATTATATGATTTCATTCATATGAAAGTTCAGAATAAGGAACTCTATAGAGACAAAAAGTAGATTAGTGGTTGCTTAGTGCTTGAGAGAGGAGTGGTAACTAAAGTTTACTTGTTTTCTTTTGGAGGTAATGAAAATGTTGTAAAATTGATTGTGGTGGCAGTTGCACATATACGTGAATATACTAAAAACTGTTAAATGCACATGTTATGTGGGCGAACTGTATGTGAACTGTATCTCAATAAAGCTGTTTTTTAAAAAAAAGAAATGAAAATGCAAAGTGTGTTTAGGGAAAAACATAGAGATTTTGGAATAAGAGCTTTCTCCAGGGGTGTATTGGGAGATAAGCAGAGAAGATGTGATGGAACACGATGAATTCCAGTCTAACAAGTTTCAGCTTAAACTTTAATAGGGGGTGGACATTACAGGTGTCTGATTACAGGAGTGGTTTGTTGAAAGTTATATTTTAGGAAAATAAATTTAACGGTGGCGTGTTCCAGGTGGGAGGAGGAGCAGGGAGATGCGTTTGTAGCTGCCACAGTACTAGTTGTATGAGTTAGACAGGGCTGCACCTATGGCTCTGAAATTTTTAATGAGCATTTTTTTTTCCCCTCAAAAGCCAACTTTTCCTTCAGTGGTGATCACTATGCAGGGAGATGTCTGATGGCTGCATAACCCATGTCCAGCGGGACTTAGAGATTGTCTCTCGTTGTCTTCCCCAGGGAGGAATCATGGGCATTGAGATCTACTGGGACTGCAACCTAGACAGGTGGTTCCACCACTGCCGTCCAAAATACAGTTTCCGTCGCCTTGACGACAAGACTGCCAAGGAGTCCTTGTACCCTGGCTACAACTTCAGGTAACAGTGCTCCAGGTCAGACTTGCCCAGTGACTGGCCACCCTTGGATCCCCAGGGACCTTCTGGGCCTGGCTGAATTGTATCCCCAGCAGCCAGCAAGACTAGTTATGGTTCCCAAGGCAACAAGAGGAATGTGAAAGACTTCCTCTAAGAGCTAGGCAGTGACTGAATTTTTGTATGAATTATTAAAGAATTGCACACTCTTTGTAAGATAAAAACAAAACTTGGGAAACAGAGAAAAGCATAGAGAAGAGGATAAAAATCACCCATAATTCCTCTATCCTGAGATAATTGAAGATAACCCTCTGGTAAATGTTCCTTCATCTAACCAATTGTTTTGTGAGGCTTATATGAGATCATATCACATTTATAGTTTGGTATTCTGGCAGGGGGTTTCATATGCCAGGTCACTCAAAATTCTTTGTGACCATCACATTAATTATCATCGTATTCCATTGTGAGTGTAATGATAACGTTAGCTACAACTTAGGGAGGGTATTCTATATACCAGGCATTTATATCACCATCACTAAACCTCACAACCACCCTTGAAGGTAGATATTAGTGTCCTGGGGAAAGCTGAGAAAGGTGAAATGATCTCCCCTAGACCCACAGCTAATAGTAGAAGCTCCATAATCCTAACCTAGATCACTAAGACCTTAAAACACACCCTTTCTCTTCCATCTCATAATTTTCTCACCATTCCACCATTATTGGATATTTGGGGTATTTCTGATTTTTCTTTATAAACAACTCTGTAGTGTACATCTCTGTACATATATCTTTGTTTGAATCCCAGATTATTTCCTTAGGATAAATTTCTAGAAGCAGAATTATTGGATCAAAGGTTATGAGCATTTTACCATATGCTTTCAGGTTTTAAAAATACTATATGGCTATATTTTTCATTTCTCGGATTTATATTCAGTTCTTTTTCAAAGCCACCTATTACTGTTTCAGTGAGATCCATTCTTAGTTTATGGATCCTACTCCTTTTGTCCAATCTACTGTATAACCCCTTTCACACTGAACTGTAGCAACTTGGATGGTATTTCTCTTTGTGGGGCTTTGGAATATTTGTTGGTAGACTTTGGCAGAAATGATCTTGTGCAAAGTTTTGCGTGTGCCATGGGATATGGAGACATTCCTCTGGGGTGATAATTTAATTTTGTAGTTGTTCCTGCCAGGACTGTATGGCATCTATCAATTACAAACCAGTTTTTAGTTTAATTTCTTGGTGCTGGATGTCTTCACTCCACTAGAAGTATCCCATCCCTGCTTCCTTGCTAAGTAGGGCATCTGCAGCCTCAGCTCCTTCCCCAAGAAGTATGTTAAGACTCTAGCTGCTCAGGTACAAATCTGATCTGGTTCTCCTAGGGTTCACGTGGCTTTAGTCCCCACTTACCACTCATCTCTAGCACCTGCCCTTCCTTGTTTTGAGCTCAATAATATATTGATGTGACTTTAAAAAATACGTTATCTTGCACTTCTTTGTGTAAGTGCAGTGGGGTGGGAGGTGGTGGTGGAGGTGGTGAGGCAGCCTGCCATCTTGATTGGAAATCCTTTTGGTGAGAACATTTTTTTTAAATAAATTTATTTATTTTTGGCTGCGTTGGGTCTTCGTTGTGGTGCGCGGACTTTTCATTGTTGTGGCTTCTCTTATTGCGGAGCACGGCCTCTAGGCACGTGGGCTTCAGGAGTTGTGGCTCACGGGCTCTAGGGCGCAGGCTCGGTAGCTGTGGCGCACGGGTTTAGTTGCTTCGTGGCATGTGGGATCTTCCTGGACCTAGGGCTCGAACCATGTCCCCTGCATTGGCAGGCGGATTCTTAACCACTGTGCCACCAGGGAAGCCCAGTAAGAACATCTTAAAGACTCCTGATACCTTGGGTAACATTGCTTCCTCATTGCAGTTTTGTCTAATTTTTAAGGTTCTTTGTAGTACATCGCCTATGCTTCTAGCTTCTGGACTTCAACCCTATGAATTCACTAGAATTCTGGTTCATTTTCACTCTTGAGCTGGCTAGTGCTGGTTTTGTGCTGATCTATTCTTGTTTTGATGCTCTGCACAGTTCAGTCCTCTGCTCCTGACTTTTTCCCATTGGTGATCTTGTGCCCCTAACTTAGTTTCCACGTTACCTCCTATGTCTGGATAATTTTTCAGCCTGTCCCTACAACATTGGGCCAGCAGTAATTTGGTCTCTCAGTTTGAGGCTTATAACACAGTCTCCATGACCTTTCATTTCCTGTGGGAGCCAGGCAGGGTTCTGTGACTGTGGTTATGGCTGGTCATTTTGTGCTCTGGTTCCAGACACAAAGCAGGCTTTTGCTGTTTCCTTTTCAGAGAGAGTTGCTGAGTATATCCCTCGGTTATACAATTTGTTTAAGAAGCTGGTAGGATGTTGATATTGGCATTCTTAATTCATTAAATATATGTTGAAGAAAAAAATATTTGTTGCCCCAATGGGTATACATTGGTAAACAAAATAGACAAGTTACTGCTTAGCATATATCCTAATAGGACATGACTATACATATAAGACAAAAATATAATAAAAAACTCCAAGTCAACATCATTAGTCACCAGGGAAATGCAAATTTAAACCACAATGAAATATAATGACATGCCCACCAGAATGACTAAAATTAAAAACACTGGAGGGCTTCCCTGGTGGCGCAGTGGTTGAGAGTCTGCCTGCCGATGCAGGGGACACGGGTTCATGCCCTGGTCCGGGAGGATTCCCACATGCCTCGGAGCAGCTGGGCCCGTGGGCCATGGCCGCTGGGCCTGCGCATCCGGAGCCTGTGCTCCGCGATGGGAGAGGGCACAACAGTGAGAGGCCCGCGTACCGCAAAAAAAAAAAAAACACTGGAAATTCCAAAAGTTGGCAAGGAGGAGGAAAAACTGGAATTCTCCTATTTTCCTGGTGGGAGTGTAAAATGGTACAACCACATTAGAGAATTGTTGGGAAGTTTCTTATAAAGGTAACATCTATCCTCTAAACCAGAAATCCCACTCTTAGGTATTTACCCAAGAGAAAGGAAACATATCTCCACAAAAAGATTTGCACATGAATGTTGACAGCATCCTTACTCATAATAGGCAAAACCCAGAAAGAACCCAAATGTGCAATAACAGGTGAATGGAGAAATAAATTGTGATATATTTATATAATAAAACACTACTTAACATAAATAAAAAATGGAAGAAATTACTGATACACACATCAACATAGATGAATCCCACAGATGTTACGTTGAGTGAAAGAAGCCTGACCTGAACGAGTACATGCTATGATGCCATTTATAAGAAGTACAAGAACAGGCAAACTTATCTGTGATGATAGAAGATAGAACAATGGCTGCTGGGCTGGGGTTTGGGGGTAGGAAGGAGAAGTAGGAACCAATTGGAAGGGAGCGTAAGAGTTTTCTGGGGTAATGGAATGTTCTAGATATTGGTAGGGATCTAGGTTACATAGAGTATTCATTTGTCAAAACTCATTGAATTGAACCCTTAGGACTTGTGCATTTTATTATTATATGTTAGTTATACCTCAATAGAACAAACAAATCCAACAAAACCGTTTCAGATGATGATAAATACTTCAAAGAAAATCAAACAAGATCGTGTGATGGGGGTGTGGGGAAATGCAACCAGAAAAGGCCTCTCCAAGCACAGGATAGGACCCCCATAGGCTTCATGCACTTTCCTGAGGACTGAGCTTTCCTAGTTAAGAAGAGAAACTACACACATAGGAGTCCATGTTAGGGAATCAACTTGCAAACATATTAGCTTCTCTGAACACTTTTAGTACTAATGGTCTGGACCAGTGGTTCTCAAAGTGCGGGTCCCCATATCAGCATCATGTGGTATCCTGTTAGAAATGCAAATTCTCAGGCTCTACCACAGACCTACTGAATCAGACACTCTGGGTATTGTCTTCATAAGCCTTCCAGGTTATTCTAATGCAAACTTAAGTTTGAGAATCACTAATCTAGACCCTCGATACTCAAATGTGATCCTGGAACCAGCAACATGGGCCTCACCTGGGAGCTTGTTATGATGTACAATCTCAGCCCCCACTCTCAATTTACTGAGTCAAAATCTGCATCTTAAGATTCCCAGGAGATTCATGTGCACATTAAAATCTGAGAAGCACTGGTCTAGACTAATTTTCTAGCATCCCAAACATACTTCCTTCTTAGATGATTCATCTGACTATATTTTCTTTCTACAACCAGGTTGCTAGCTGCCTGGGAGAATGAATAAAATAAAGTGTCTACTTAATCTGAGCATGCAAGTACAGGCCAAAGTACATGTGCACGTGCAAACACACACACACACACATTCACTGCTTCCTAACCCTTCTGCTAGCACTCTTATTGAGTTCTGGAGGGGTCCACTTAAGCAAATGGCTCTATTTATATTTTACTTAAAGCAGCATCATTAACTGGCAAGCAGGCTTCAAATTTTGTTTTTGTTTTTGTTTTTGGCCTGCACAATGTTCTGAAAGTTGAGACATTCTACATAAAATATGGACTTCCTACTTTTTCTGAAAATTAAACTATTTGAAAAAAATCAACCCATTTGACAACACTGGCTTCATATTCCACAGGGAGCACTCAGCTAGAGCTGAGTATCAGTGGTTCCCTTTAGAAAGGCCATGTGGCTCTTGGTTTGCCAAGGTCCTCACCACTCCTTATTGCCTCTTACCTGGCTGCATCACTCATTTCTGTTATCTGGCCCCTATAGGCGTTTGAGTTTGAGACCCTTGGCTAAAGGCTGGCTGAGATCAAGACGTAAGAGGATTTTGCCTTCTCCGGGTCAGTGGAATTTCATCCAGGGCCCTGAAACCAGCTCCTAGTTTAGGTAATGTTTTGATCACTCGCAGCTGCTCTACTGAATAGGTTTGTGGCCATTAGCAAAAGAGAGGCCTGGATCAGTGGTCCCCGACTGCCCTCACAGGCTGTTTTTACAGCAATCAGCAGACGCATGCAGGGCAATGTACCAATCAGATGTTAGCAAATGTTCTTCAAGTCACTGAGCTAAGCCTAAGAACATTAGCTCCTGGAGAGATCTGAGCTTTCTGAAGAACTGGTTGTGATGTTAATATTCTTTTAGAACAAAGTTTTAGAGCATTGGTTCTCTGGAATAAGCACCAGAAGAAATCTTTATCCAAAAATAAAATGTCAAGATCTGACGGGTAACTGAACAAGTTATTGTCAAATAGCTACACAAAAGGGAAGGAAGTTAGAGGCTATATGAGGTTTATGAGAAAATATAACTTTCTAAAACATAGGAAGTTGAAGGAATTGATCACGTTGCAGAATTTTGTCCTTTACCAAAAGATCCTTTTTCAATTATTCAGTTTATTTACAAGATGTGTAAAGCAGGGAAGACCTACACAGAATAGAATGCCTGATGTGCTTCTCTGTTTCTCAGAATGGGTGTATGTGTGTATTCATTTCCTATGGCCACTATAACAAATTACCACAAACTTGATGGCTTTAAACAACAGAAATTTATCTCTCACAGTTCTGGAGGCCAGAAGTCCAAAATCAAGGTGTCAGCAGGGACATACTCCCTCTAAAGTCTCTAAGGGAGGATCTTTCCTTGCCTCTTCTAGCTTCTGATGGCTCTAGGTGGTCCTTAACTTGTGGCTGCATCCCTCCAGTATCTGCCTCCGTCTCTACATGGCATTCTCCTCTGTGTTTCTGTTTCAACTCTCCCTTTCCTTTTTCTTATAAGGATACAGCCATTGGATTTAAGACCCACCCTAAATCCAGGATGATCTCATCTTGAGATCCTTAACTCATTTACATCTGCAAAGATCCTATTTCCAAATAAGGTCACATTCACAGGTGCAGGGGTTAGGCACTTGGACTTATCTTTTTGGGGGGCCATTATTCAACCCACTACAGAGTGTAAAAACATCCTTGCCCAGGGCCTGGTGTTCTGAGTGTGGCCCACTGATCAACTGCATCAGAACCACCTGGTACCTTTCCTGGAAATACAGATTCCTAGAAACACCTCACACCTTTTGAAACCACCCTTTGGGGGTGAGGCCCAGGAATCTGCCTTTTGAACACACTTCCCAAGTGATTCTTGCCCTCAGTTTGAGACCCACTGTACAAAGACCCTGAAAGTAGAAATTCAAGTATTTACTATACAATGTTAACCTTCCAGCAAAACAGCTTGCATAGAGAGATAATGCAACCCTGGGGCATGGAGTGGTGATGCATGCTTGCTTTGTATTTTAAAAAACAAATCAATTAATAGAGCGGAAGAAAGTACTGTCATGGAATGAGAACCATCAGATGCAAAGAAACTGAAACCCCTTTGGCCAGAAACAGGCACTGAAGTGCCTGAGAATATCTAACTGATCTCAAAGTCAGATCGTGAGTTTAAAAAGAATAAGAATTTCAGATGTTCCATACTATATTTTGGCAGAGCATCCGTTTTCTGTTTTCTTCTCTTCCCACACCTGTAAATAGATTATGAATTAATAACTCAAAGAAAATATATGTCCTTACCTAAAAACAACCACCAAAAGTCGTTAAGAGGGAGGGTCAGATTTAAAAGTTTTGTGAGGCATGTGGCTTAAGCCTCCCTAATTATTCATGAAAAACAAAACATGACACTTTCCCTGACTGTAGCACTGATGAGGGCTGCATATTTTGGGTGACTGTGATTTGTGCCCAGGTCTTAATTTATAAAGGTGACTGAGTGGTAACACAGAGAAGTCAATGCCCTTGAAAGAAGAATTTCCTGAGAGGTGCGGTACACCAGGTCACACAGGGCCACAGGGGGAAGCACCAGGTTTGGTCAGGTGTTGGCAGGAGAAAGGGGAAAGCACAGCCCAGAGCCTTTATTGTGTTTTCTGTGGGAAAGGCAAGGCAGGGCAGGGGAAACAGCTTAGGATTGGCTAGTTTGAGTAATGTTGGTGGGCTCTGGGCTACAGGGGTGGTCTCTGGTTGTCTGGTACCTGGCCCTGAGCAAGTTAGGGCAGGGGAAATGTTGGCTGGGTGTGTGAAAGTTAGATACAGGAGGTGGCTGGAGATATGGACTCAGGATTTGTCAGAGGGTTTGTAACATGATTTTCACATACTCGCAAAAGCTGGATGGCAGGGGGCATGTAAACAACATTGTCTGCTAGTTTGGCCCTGGTGATAATGGATGCCAAACAGACAAATACAGAATCTTAAGAAAACACAGTTAGAGCAGACTGCTGAAGGGCACCTGTTCCCAATCCATTCATTAGTATCTAAGATTCACCCTCCCCCTCTTTGTTCTAGAAGCTAAACTTTTCCCTCTTAGAGAATGATCAGAGTGCTTGAAGTTATTTTTTTTAATTTCTCTTGTTGTTAACCCTGTATTGGTTAAAAATTGTTCATTTTAATCTTAAACTAAAACACAGACTTTCCATCATCCTGTGATGCTGGAAGTAGAGAAGGTGACGTGGGGAAGTGGTGCCTTGGTTCAAGGTGAAGAGAGAGAGAATTTCATGGGTTTGGATTGTGTTCTTTCCTTTGCCAACCAGAGCAGAGCTAGAAGACGGACAAAGAAGACTAGATCGGCTACTGTTTCGGTTTTTCTTTTGATAAAATACCAGCACTTCCAGAGAGATCTTATAAATATGTATCCTTTTCCTCCTACAGATATGCCAAGTACTATAAGGAAAATAATACCGAAAAGCGGACCCTGATAAAAGCCTTTGGGATCCGTTTTGACATCCTGGTTTTTGGCACCGTAAGTCTCTTCTCGTTTTCAGCCACTGGCATCTCCGTTCCTATGACTGTGTCTTAATTATTGCTGTAGTGTCTCAAAGGGTGAATGTTTTGGTCATAGTCGTTAGCTGGCACTGTGCATCTTGCATGTGGGATCAGAGAGGGGGAAGAAATGTTCTTGTTCATGGACAAATCATCTAATGGGTACAAGAGTGGGCTTGGGGAAAAAACCTAATACTCAATTTTCAATATACTCTGATGCTTAAAAAAGAGAGAGAAAGAAATCCCTCTGCAAAATACTTTGTAAGGAATCCAATTCACATGGGCTTAGGAAAAAAGAAGTCTTTTTTTTTTTTAGTTCACATAACTGAAAAATCCAGAGGCAATTTTCAGGCTTCGGGTATCATGAATCCAGATGTCTTAACAACATCACCAGGAACCTGCCTCCCTCCATCTCTTACTTTGTTCTCCTCTGTTTTGGTGTCATTCACAGCGGGTCATCTCTATGCAGTGGTGTCAGCAGCTACTTATACCTTAGCAATTTAGCAACCTCAGTGAAAAGAGAACATCTCAGCAAAAGTCTCAGCAGATGCCACTGGCTTTGACTGGCCCAATATGGGCCAGATGCTCACTGCTGAACTGTGACCAGGGTCACTCGCAATGGCTGGTCTTACACCAGCCCTGAACCAGCCCCTTCCCCGCAAACTACATGGACTGAGTATGGACACAGACAGTTCTCCAAAGGAAAACGGGCATGCTATCTCCAGAAGGAGGGGATGCTAAGTATGCAAAAATCAACAGATGCCCACATACCTTGTCTGACAACGTATTATTTATGTAACATGGTGATAAGCAGCACAAGAATCGATGAGATATAGTGAGAGGATACAAAGACACTGAGAATAAAAACCACAGGGACATCTATGGGAAGAGTTTGTGCAGACATTCCTTCCCTCTGTTTCCAAAGTAATCTCAAATCACTTTTAGGGAAAGCTCTTTTGAAACCCTCACCTTGAATGGAAAAATACCTTTCAATGGTTCTCCTCTTAATGTGTGAGTTCCAGTGCTTATTTGTTTAAAACATCCATGTTTTCAAGCACATCCTGAAAGGCAGAAGCTGGAGGAATGGGATTCATATTTTCAGTCACCTTAATCTTTGTTGCCGTGAACACTTTGGATGAATCTGTCAAATTCACGGCACTAGACTCCCTCCTCTGCTGGAACTTACAATTACATGTTAGAGCAAAAGAGCATTGCTCTGAATTTCAACCGGGTAACCTTTTGTACTCTGTTTCCAGGGAGGAAAATTTGACATTATCCAGCTGATCGTGTACATCGGTTCAAACCTCTCTTACTTTGGTTTGGTAAGGGATTCTCTTTCTCACATTTTATGAAAATGATTTGGCAAAAGGAAGTTTCACTGACATGGTGCTTGTCTGGGTTTTTCCCAGGCCACTGTGTTCATTGACTTTCTCATCAACACTTACTCAAATAAATGCTGTCGATCCCGTATTTATCCCTGTTGCAAGTGCTGTGAACCCTGTGCAGTCAATGAATACTACTACAGGAAGAAGTGTGAATCCATTGTGGAGCCAAAGCAGGTAAGGCTTGCTGTGTCTATGAGATGTTAAAACACCTGTATGGCCCATTGGACCACGGAGAAGTTTGCAAAAATAAGGCCAAGGGCTTCCCTGGTGGCGCAGTGGTTGAGAGTCCGCCTGCCGATGCAGGGGACGCGGGTTCGTGCCCCGGTCTAGGAAGATCCCACATGCCGCGGAGCGGCTGGGCCCGTGAGCCATGGCCGCTGAGCCTGTGCATCAGGAGCCCGTGCTCCGCAGCGGGAGAGGCTACAACAGTGAGAGGCCCGCATACCACAAATAAATAAATAAATAAATAAATAAAAAATAAGACCAAAATCATAGGTGTAATCAATCCCATGGTGGATAATTCTCTGGACTCTACCCCAATCCACCATCTCTCAGATGAATCCTTTAGTTTTAGTGAATAGACACAAAAATGGAGAAGCAAGATATAGGGAAAACAAATTTTTATGTTCCAGGATTTGTCAGTTTTGTCAGATTTATTAAATTGGTTGTGTAAAAAAGTATAATGACTTTGGAGAACAATTTATAAATCTAGTAACATTTAAATGGGACATACTTTACAGCCTGGCACTTCCACTTCTCTATACCTGCCTTAGAGAAACACTCACATGGGTACCAACGTAGTACACATGTACCAGATGTCCATCACAGTGCTGTCTGTGACAGTGAAGGGGAGCATCTGCCCAAATGTCCAATAGGTGAATGGTGAAATAAACTATGATAAATCCATAGTAAGGAAGGCCTGGTACCAGTTTTTTAAAATGAGGTAGATTATAATAAAAGCAAACGTTTACATAGCATTTCCAGTGCTACGTATACATTAACTCACTGAATCTTCACACAACCCTACAGGTAGGTTTATGGGATTATGATTATTAGCAGAACTCTACATAGGTACTACTATTATCTCTTTCTATAGATGAGGAAATTGAGGCACAGGAAGGTTAAATAATTTGCCCAAAGTCATACAGTTAGTAAGTGGCAGAGCTGAAATTCCAACTCAGGCAGGCTGGTTTCAGAATCCATGTTTATAACCACTATGTTATAGGTACTGGCATAAGCAAATATCCAAGACATTTGTTGACTGGAAAAAAGCAAACTATGGAACAATATATATGGTATGATATGTAGGTTAAAAAGCAACAATACACATAAACTAATTGTTTTTTCTACATGTATATTATATATGCCCATTTATATATACACACATATAGATTCTGTATATTTTCTACATGTATTATACACACACACATATAAATGTGTGTGGGGAGGTAATATACATATAAAAAAAGGTACTGGACACTCATAAAAGTGATAACAGTGGGGGCTTCCCCGGTGGCGCAGTGGTTGAGAGTCCGCCTGCTGACGCAGCGGACACGGGTTCGTGCCCCGGTCCGGGAAGATCCCACACGCCGCGGAGCAGCTGGGCCCGTGAGCCATGAGCCTGCGTGTCCCGAGCCCGTGCTCCGCAACGGGAGAGGCCACAACAGTGAGAGGCCCGCGGACCGCAAAAAATAAAAAAAAAAATAAAATA